AAATTATATTTTATTGAAAAAATATAATAATTATTGATTTATTAAAAACATATAAAATCGTATTATAATATCGATAAAGATAAATAATAAAATACAAAATTAAAATCGAGATGTATCTACGTTATAAATAATAATCTAATAATGATAATCTTGCTATCAAACATGCAAATAATCCTTTGGTCATGGATCAATAGTAAAGCATTCAAAGAACAAACAATGCTTTAAAGATAGTGGAACACGATTGTCCTACAGGAGAAACACAATGATGGTGTACCACTGCAGGTGCTGCCAAATTTAAAACCCCATCTCCATCTCTCAATTTCCTTTTAAAATATCCCACAATAAATTTCTTGCAGACTATCTGCATTACTGCCTGCTCATTTCTTTACACTGGGGTCAGAATTCATTGGCTGAATCTCCATTCCATGTTAGTAACTGGAGCAATCACACGTTGGACGATTTTATCTTGACCTGTTCTTGTTTGTTTTTTTTCGATTTTTCAATGCGAAGTTATATATATCGTGTTGAATCCAAAGACGTATGTAAAAGTGGGTAAGTAGGTAGAGACTTGTTGGAATCCATCCAAATTCATCTATACGACTACGATCATCTCCATATTTCGCAATTAGGGGATTAAGAAGTGGATCGATAACGATACTTGTGTACAAAACAGATTTGTTTTGATCAATCAATCACCATCTTCGTTGATTTCTGCTGATTCTGCTGCTTTTTCAACTGTGCGTGTTCTTGGTGTTTGTGTGTGTGTGTGAGAGAGAGAGAGATGGGAGTATGTGGATCGAAGGCAAAAGGATGCGTGGGTGTTGGATTAGGTCATAAGAAACGTGGAGATGTTGCAGATGGTGAAACAACACCAAAATTACAAGCAAGAACACATGGAAGGAGACGAAGAAGACGACTTGGTAGGAAATCGAAGACAGATGCTACCAATCGGTTTTCATCCAGGAACAAAGTCGATCCTTCTGCAGTCACATCTAATTCCATGGATCGTCGTTCTTATCGTAATCCTACATTTCAAGGTGTTCATAGAAACCCTAATTTCTTCTGTTTCATCTTTATTACTTGCTTATTCAAATTCGAAATTAGGGGTTTCTTGCTGGTGATCATCAGGGGATTGAAATCTACAGCTATATCCAATTGCTTCTTGATTCTGTTACTCAATTATTTTTGTAAAACTTCCTAACTATTTCAGTACCTTTTATCATCTGTATGATCATAATCATCATATTGTTTAAACTGCTATCAAAATTGAGACCTACAGCTCTGCTACATACTGCTGCTACCTGCTCTTGTGGGCTCAAGAGGCAGCTGATGATCAAAACAAGAAGAAAATTATGATGAACTCATGATAATGGTGTTCTGATATCAATGCATTAGGCCTTATAAGTTTTCTTTAACAATTTCAATTTGTGGGCTCATTCTAGAATGGAGGATGAAACCATTTTAGGATGGAAGAAAATGAAATAAATGAATTGGGCCTTAGTTTCTTTAGATAGAAACTCCTCGGGTTTTAGCATAAACAGCTATCGTGGGCCGTATCAATTGGCTGAAAGGCCTGGAAGAAAACTCCGCAACTGATTCAACCATAGAGAGGCCAACTGTAGACAATACCCCCCCCCCAACCCGGAACAAAGCTTACAAAATCCAGTCCACTTTATCGTAATCGATTAGTTAACATGTTGGTTAACCTTATCTGAAACACTTTCAACAGTATCAGAATTGCAAATTTGCAGCCCTGTTGAGTGTACCTTATTTCACATGGATGAACTTGTAAACATGTTTAAGTCAAAAAAGATAACAAATGAGCTTCTAATAGTATTTGATTTTGAACAGCATTCTTTGTTACAAACTAAGTTATGAATTCATCTCTAAGGTAATTAATTATTTTATAAACTATGTGGTGTTATTAGGGAATTCAGAATCTTGGTATGATACTACGATTGGGATTGATTCCGATGGGGATGAAGATTTCTACAGCACTCAAGATGGTAAGAGGTGTTTTTAGTTCTAACAGTCAACAAATCTTTCCTTTTCTGGAAAAGAGGTATATTTTCAAGTTTGATGGCCAAACTTACTTATCTTCAAGATCAAAATTGATATGGATTATGCTACAAACCTAACACCAAAATCTTTCTATTTTTAGTATTTATTATGAACTTTAATGTAACCATCAAACTTTCTTACAAAGATTTGAGTCATTTGTATCAAATTGATGTTGACTTTTAGTATTTTGGCCTCAAACTTGACAAGTGTATCTTTATGTATCTAAGGCCATGTTTGGCAACCATAAGCTAGCTTATATTTTGAGCTTATTGAAAAATCCACGTTTGGTTGGCAATAAGCTAGCTTTTTGAAAAACTACTTCAAGTAGCGTTTCAATAAACTTTAGGGTTTTTTTAACATTTTTTCCAATTATGCCCGTTATATTTTTCCAATAGGTTTTTTCAACATGTTCTTTTGGGTCTTTTTACATTGTCATCTACCTTATCAACTAGTACCTTTTACCAAACATGACTAGTTTATTAGCCTACTTATCAGCCAACAACTCGCTTTTTGAAAAACTACTTCAAGTAGCGTTTCATAAACTCTAGGGGCCTTTTTCTATTTTTTTTTTTCTAATTATGCCCCTTATATTTTTCCAATTATTTTTTCAACATGTTTTTTAGGTCTTTTACATGGTCATCTAGCTTATCAACTAGTTTTTATATACCAAAAATGGCTAGTTTATTAGGTAGCTTATCAGCCAATAGCTAGCTTATTAGCTAGTTTGCCAAACATAGTCTGAATTACGGAGGCCACTTACTATGCTAATTTGCTTCTTATTGTTTACACAGACATTATATCTCAGAATGGGTCCATTAGTGCATCCGTGACTCCAAGATTTTCCGATCATGTCAACAATGCTACCTTCTCTGCCTCTGATTCACTAATAAAACCGAGCGAAGTACCACCATCTTCCATAGATGGAGCCTCTGTAGTATACGATAATGGATCTCAAAATTTTGGTATTCTGCAAAATAATTGCCTCCCTTGTCTTAATTGCACCACCTCCACAGATGTAAAGAGTAAATCGCCATGCTCAAGCCCTCCAAGTGCAAAGAAGAAAGTTACTTCCATGCTTTCCTTTAAATGGAGGGAAGGGCAATCCAATCTTTCCGTATGTAAGACTCGTGATCCCTACCTTCTTGTTTATTGCCCTTTATGATTGTTAAAGCCAAATGGTTTTTGGGATGCCATTTTTTTTCTATTTCAATCCAAACCAAACGAGCCCAGTATATCCCACCTGGAGATGGGATATGGGGTAAGATGTATGCTGTTTTAACCTCTACCCTAAAGAGTGGTATTCTTTTTCTTTTTCAGTCTCCCCAAAGGCCGTTCTTCAAAGACCAACTGCGGGATCTCAGGTTCCATGTTGTCCCATTGAGAAGAAACTGTCAGATTCTTGGTCACCGCTTGAGCCAAGTACTTTTAAGGTCCGGGGGCATAATTATTTAAGGTAAAAGATTGATATTTTGCTTATGTTCTTTAAATTCTATCATCTCAAGATTACCACTTTCAAATGTGAGGTTAGAGCATCTAGAATGGCGAGCATTTTGTTTGATCTTTTTCCAAAAAAAAAGTGGGGCCCACAAGCTTAGGTGACCAAACATAACAAGCCTATTGAGAGCTTCTGCGGTTAAAAGCAAAAAATGGAATTTCTTTTCAGGAGCTTTTTCATTATGCTATGTGGCCAAAAAGCTCCATTGCGGATGCTCTTTTATATGTATATATTTACGTATGTATATGTATGTATGTACAGAGAGAGACAAGGAGTTTCAAATACAAACCATGTCGTTCATACAACCCATACAAGAAAATCTCAACCATCCATCTAGTTATAATGAGAATATCTAGTTCCATACATATCTCGATTGTTTCTTAATATAAAATATTGATCATAATTAATGAACTCTAATCATTTTCCATAAATATCCATATCATAATGAATGAACTCTCACAATTTTCATAAGTATCTGAATTGATTGGTTTGAGTACATATATCTTAAACCTCCTCTCTCTCTCTCTCTCTCTATATATATATATATATATATATATATTCTTGTTTACCTATGTGATACTTGTTGGACATGGAAAGTGTAAACTAGTCTACAAATCTGTGGATCCAACTATTACTGTCTGTGTGATTATTGATCTTAATAATAACCTTGTATCTATTTTCTAGAACATTTAGATAGAAGTCCTAAAAACAATTTATTAAGCATCAAGTGTTGCTTAGTAATTCATGACCCCTTAAATTTCAAGTTATAAGTAATTACTGCATATAGACAATTTCAAACAAACTGATAAGCATGAACAAATACATGCTAATCATTGAGTCATACTAATACGACAAAATGCTCCATCAGTCTTTATCCTAAAAAAAGTTCATAACTAAAACGAAACAATGATCATATAATATATTGTTTTGGTTTTTTTAACCAAATCATCAAATTAGCCTGACATGTTCATTCATCACTTGTGATTTCTATTTAATAGAAATTGCATTATTTTGCGTTCTTGGTTTACAATAAAATCTTGTATCTCGCTGCATCGAATGGATGCACAGCTAGTGTAAGAAAACGGTTAGGAGATGTACTATCGGGAATTCACAAGGTATAATAAGAATCTTGATGAGGGCCATGTTTGATTTTGTTTTCAGCAAATATTAATGTGTGATTATTGATCCTAATAGTATGCTGCTCCTTTTAATTTGGCAGAGATAAAAAGAAAGAAAGTGCTCCAAATCAAGCCGCTTTCTATCCCATTGGTGTTGATGTATTCTTGTCTCCACGAAAAATCGATCATATTGCACGTCTTCTTGAACTTCCAACTATCGAATCATCGGGAAAAATCCCTTCTTTACTCGTCGTAAATCTTCAGGTATATATCCGCCTACTTTATGTTTTTCTTCAACTAGTTAAATTGCATGATATATTAAGACATCTTGTTTATAGAGAAAAACACAAGCACCGTTCACCATGAACTCTATAAACCAAATCAAACAAACCCGGTATATCCCATTCGAAAATAGGGGATAGGGGTGGGTAGAATATACGCAAACCTGATCTTTATTCCGAAGGATGAAGTGGATTCACCCTATACTGTAACATCCTCGGCTAACCTTCTCTTATTCCAATAACCAGATACCGCTCTATCCCCCTGCACTGTTTCAACATGAATACGATGGAGAAGGAATGAGTTTTGTTTTTTACTTCAAGCTGTCGGAAAACTATGAGGAACTCCCGCTCCATTTTCAAGAAAATATCAGGGTATGATGGTCGTAGTTTGCCTTCTCCATATTGTTTCTGTTTTATATCTATTCAAGTTTTACAGAACTCCGATTTGATTTTGTAACAGAAAATGATTGATGATGAGGTGGAAAGAGTTCGGGGTTTTCCGGTAGATACAATTGCGCCATGCAGGGAACGATTAAAGATTTTGGGCCGAATCACGAACTTGGAGGATCTTCATTTAAGTGCGGCAGAGAGGAAGCTTATGAATGCTTACAACGAGAAGCCGGTCCTGTCTCGACCCCAACATGAGTTTTATCTGGTACGTCCATGGACGTCTTTTTTGACAAGACTATTTAGTCGGCTTTATTGGTTTTATAGGACGTTAGAGATATGTCTAAATGTCCTAATAGACTGCTCTATATGACTTAAGTCTACAAGATCAGACAATTGTGCGTTCTATGTAAAAGTGTTACAATAAGTTTATAGGACAGTTTTGAGAAGGTCCTATGAACACACTTTTTAACGGGACAGATGTTTTTATAATACAAATTTTAAAATAGGACGTTTTATTTTAAAAATGTCCTAAAAACTTAATTTAACACCCATTATATAGGATGCACAATTATTTGGTGCTATAAACCTAAGTCCTATATAACAGTCTATTAGGACATTTAGACATATTTGGTGTTGTAGTGTTTCATATATTAGTAGGCATGTGGCACAAGCATCAATCGACCATAATCCTTTAAACTGCTGATTGTTGAAACCATGACAGGGAGAAAACTACTTTGAAATTGATTTGGACATGCACAGATTCAGTTACATCTCGAGAAAAGGTTTTGGAGCATTTCAAGAACGATTGAAGCACTGTAACCTCGATTTCGGACTCACCATCCAGGTTTGTGGTTTGAAACATATCAATTATCGTGTGTGTTTTTATTAAGGAAACATAACTTAACGTATGTTTCCCCCCCGAAAGCCTGGGTATTCATAAAAACAACTCTACTCTTTGGACCTTGATGGTCTTGGACCCCAACTTTGAGTTCGATACACTAGGTTATTGGGACCCCTTAGAGAGCTTGGACCCCACCTTAGAGTGTGATATATCGGGTTAGTGGGACCCTTGGAGGGCTTGGATCTCACCCCGAGTGAGATATACTGGGTTAGTTGGACCCCTTGGAGGGGGTCTAGATCCCACATCCGAGCATCCGAGTGAAGTATACTTGGGTTAGTGGAACCAGTTGAAGGGCTTGGGACCCATCACTTATATTGGGTTAGTGGGGGACCCCCCCCTGAAGGGTCTGGGTCCCATCTCCAAATGAAATATTCTGGGTTAGTGCGACTCCTTGGAGGGTTTGGACCCTAAATCCGAGTGAGATATGTTGAGTTAGTGGGCCCCCTTGGAGGGCCTGTGTTCCTCCTCCGAGTGAGATATATGGGGTTAGTGGGACCTCATCTCTAAGTGAGATACCCACCGCAGGGTCTGGATCCCACATCCGAGTGAGATATACTGGGTTAGTGGGACCCCCTGGAGGGCATGTACCCCCTATCCCCGAGTGATTATTGAGAGATATACTGTGTTAGTTTGATTTGGTGGTGTGTTAGTTTGATTTGGTGGAGTGTAACTAAAATGAAAATGTTGGATTGATGTTGAAACAGGGAACAAAGGGTGAAGAACTGCCAGAATGTATTTTATGCTGTCTCCATTTGAAAGAAATTGATTACAATAATTACAGTCTCCTTGGACTCTAATTCTCATTATTTTTCCTTTTTCATGAAATACAATATTATTGAAATAAATTGCTAAATAGAGAAATGAATGAATGATATCAAGAGTGAGTGTACAGAGATTTTGGAATGCAGTCGATCACAATAATATAAATGATGTTCACTCTTGTTTCTTTTACTTTTAATATTATCAAATTTTAAAGGGCAAATTGCATGAAAAAGTAACGTATTTTAACTTGATTCATAGTTTGGGTAACGAACTTTCAAAACTTCCATGTTGGTACCTAAGATGTAAAGTTTAAACATTTGAGTACGCAGATAACCGGTTACCATGCTGATGCGGTGAGTGATGTGGTATTCAACTCGATATTAAGATATCTATGTTTCAACTGGTTACCCAGGTACTTAAATGGTTAAAACTTTATATCTTAGGTATCAAAATGTAAGTTTTAAAAGTACGTTACCGGAAATAGGAATCAAGTTAAAGTACGTTACTTTTCATGCAATTTGTTATCTTTTAAATATACGATATTTATATACAACAAATGAAACTCAGATTTGGTAAAGTTTGGACCCTGACATAATATTGTTAGGCCAATGACAATATATATACTTTACATATTACCATCATGGAACCATGTTTGGTTATGAACCTTATTTCTATTGAGAATCAGGGAAGCACTGAGAGCTTGCCAAGTGTCTGTATCCATGATGAGTATGGACGGGACATTCGTTAGGACGCTCTTAATGGTTTCTGGGTTCTCGATGAAAATAGATTGAAGACCCGTCTTGCATCTAACGTGACATGAGGGTTCATTTTGGAAAGATGTCTTGCGTCAATTGGGGTTGTAAATTATCAGGGTTTTATAAGCGGGATCCTCAAGACCGGCCATTTAAAAAGGAAATTTATTAAAGTAGCCATTTTCAAGGAATGTATTAATCTCTTAGCCATTTCTCTCCCACACTGACCATAATATCACTACCTCCGCAAGTGACACATCTATGACTTGCAGACCCGTCTACAATTCAAATAATTTTACAACTTTCAACCTAGATTTGCAAGTGACACCTCCACAACTTGCGGACTTGCCAGATGTCAACCAAAGGAAAGAAACCTTAATGGAATATCTCTTGCACAATGTCATGTGACCGAAGTACCCTGCTAGTATCAAGAAATTTCCATCAGGGTTTCCATCCTGAGTTGACATCTGGCAGTTCCAAAGTTCAAGAGGCGCCGCTTGCAGACTTGAGTCAAAACTGTAAAATTATTTGAATTCTAGACGGGTCCGCAAGTTACAGATATGCCACTTGCAGACCTGGGTCGAAATTGAATAATTCTTTTTTGCAATCTACCTACCTCAACAAGTCACGGATATGCCACTTACGAAGGTAGTGACATTTTTTTAACTACAGAGAAGAAATGGCTAAGAGATTAATTCACTCCCTAAAAATAACTATTTTTTAGGGAATGAATAAGTGAACCCATAAATGACGTCTCAGAGTTCCAACCTTTAGGACCTGAATCATCTAAGTGCTTCTAAGACATCACAATTTTCTTTCCTTCGTGATAATCGCGTTGCAATCGTGGACCATTACAGTAGAAACGTTTCAATTCTGTAATCGTGGACCATTACAGTAGAAACATTTTAAAAGGTGGTTTATTGTTGGTATTATTATTTGGGTTCATCCTTTTTATACTTGTCCTATTACCACCATTTAGTTTCTTGCATTTGTTTTTTTACTTTGTCTATTGTACTTGTCATCAATTAATTGTTTGTTTTTTATATTAAAACAATGAGAGAAAATAAGAACGGGAATGAATTTTCATTACTTCCGCTTTAATCTGTGATGAAAATTTGGACTCATGCAAATGGATTTATTATATTATATAAAATGAAATAGTTTATTTTATTTTTCAGTTCCATTAATTATTGCTTAATATCTCTAACACAACACTACTGTACTATTGAGCGGAGGATTTTGACGGAAATAACATTTTAACTTTTTGGACTTTGGGTAGAGAAAATGTCAAGGGTTTGTTTGATTTGTTGGATTGTTTTTGAGGGATTTGGACTTGAATGGATTTGAAATCGTTAGTGTGTTTGGTTTGTAGGATTTGGATTTCATTATTTATAAATAGTTTATAGAAAAAAATAATAAATAAATATAAAAAATAATTGAATTACATTTTTATTAATCGATTATTACAAAACAAATGTTTTTAATATTTTTTAAAACCTTATTGCATACATAAACACTTTCATTGGGTCTTAGAGCCAGCAGAGCGCAATACACGCGAATGGAGTCAATAAGCTAGTGCAAATTTAGGGGAGGAAAAGCTCGGACCCCCTCCATCGATGGTTTTTGACCTTCTATCGATGACAGATAAACCGATATTAATTAAACTTCATTATGAACAAGTTATTCAATCAGGAAAAATGAATTTAAGTTTTGTGATTTAACATCGACTTATTAAACCACTGGAAAATATAATCGAGAAACCCCTTCCCTCCCAAAAAAAAAAAAAAACTCGACACATTCCTGATTGTATCGTTGTGATTCTACTATCTCATGGAGGATGGAAAACCGATACATCGTGTGAAAATGGAGGAAAAACGACTCCAATTGGTCTTCTGATGTGTAGATGTAGAAGATAACATCGATACGAGATTGGCTGTCTTCTTTGTATTCTTTGGAGCTCTCGATGGCGTAGAAGTGCGTGAAAACTCTTTGAGTTGAACACGTTGGTGCGTGCTGATGTCTTGATTGGCGTTGACATTCAAATCACCGGATTTCAGGTCACCAACTGTGAGGCGATTATCCCAGATACGACCAGAGGAGCCTTGTCGTCGAAACGAATAAGCTGATCTTTGTAAGGTGTTCATTGATTAACTTATGGCTTTTGTACGTGTTTATATCTTGACATGTAACCTTTTATTCTTGTATTCCTAATCTCGTTCGGATTTTTAGCGCAAGTTTTGATAATGAGCGGTGAACGTTAGTTGTTGGTTATTTATTAGTGGTCGAGAATGAACAAAAACAGATGACACAAAATTTCACCTCATCCGAATCTTCAATCTTAATGGATGATTTACAGTGTTTTATATTGACTTAGTAAATAAAACAATATCAACAACTGAGTTTATAATCTTACAACCAGGGGTGTGGAAAACCCGAATTATCCGAAACCCGAACCGAAAATAAGGTATTTATGTAAAATCCGAATGGCCCGAAATCCGAAAATTTGAAAACCGACTTTTTGGGGAAAATTCGGGTTCGTGTTGGGTTTGATATATACGATGAAAATCTTCAAATTGGGATGTTTCCTCCAAATTAAACGTCGAAGATAAAGAGATATTTTTTTTTATCGTTATCACCTGTTATTTTTGATATATTATCGTTTTATATAAAATTTAATTGGATGTATTTTTTATAATATTAAATATTTTGAATATTTTAATAAATCTTTAAAATAAGAAGTTGTTACACTTAAATATAATGTTTTGGGTATCCTATTTTTATTATTTAATTAAAAAATTATAAAAAATCTATTGAAAATACTTTCAAATTCCAACAAATTGATTGTGGGTTCTTGACGAAATTGTCCAAAATGTCAATCAAACTCCCTGATCACTTTATAACCATCTTTTCAATCTTGTGATCAAGAGCCGAAAATTACACAAGTAGCGCTTAAGCAACTTTGATAACATATTATTTTAATAGAATAAGCAGAAAAATTAGACATTACGCAAGTTACTAAATGGTAACTGCGTAATATCTACAGGACATGGTTACACTTCGACGAAATGTCTAATTTCCTGAACGTTATATTGAAAAAAGTAGATTATAAAGTCGCGAAAATGCTACTGACGTAATTTTCGACTATTTCGATTAGGGATGGTGATTTGTCCCGACCCGATGAAAACCCGGCTCACCCGACCCAAACGGATACGGGGATTCTCCGCTAAAATGGGTCCCGGGACCGAGAATCCAGACTCAAACCGGGGTTGGAGCTAGGGCCGGCTAGCGTTTCTCCCGAACCGCCTCGTACCCGGTATGTAATTTTATTAATATATTTTATATAATATGTGTGTATATATATATATATATATATATATGAGTTATTATACAACCTTTTACATTTGTACAACCAATACAATTCAATCTCAACCATCCATTTAATTTGATGTATATGTGATTCATAAAAGTTTTGATTATCTCCTAATATAAAGTATTGATCATAATTAATGAACTCTAGTAATCTTCCATAAATTTTCAAATCATAATTAATGAACTCTCATCATTTCATAAATATCTCAATTAATTGAATTGCATTGGTTGTACAAATGAACATAGTTGCATTTGAAATATACCCCCCTCCACACACACACACACACACACATACACACACACACACACACATATATATATATATATATATATAATCTTTTAAAATTAGGTCTTGACCGGAGACGATGATCAATATTTGACCAAGTTTGATCAAAAAATAAACCAAAGACGGGATATTAATCCCCGCACACACTGGGAACTAGGACCAAGGTCGTTCACAGAAACCCGAACCGGGGCTAGAGGGCGTTCGTAGAAACCCGGACTGGGGACAGAGAGACTCAAACCCACACCATTCACGTGTTGTTACCATACTTAATTTCAATAAATTTATTGAAAAAGTAAGTATAAAAGGAAGAGAAAGAGGGTTATTTTGGACATTTTACCTTAATTATTTAATTCAAAAATTTTAATAACAACTTGTAATAGTTTATTTCATGTTGACCGACCCACCCACCGTTCAATTCCATTCAACAACTTACATGTTTGTTACCTTCAAAAACTTAAATGCGACTACAAGGACTGTTACCGTCATAAAATGAAGTAGAGGGACCAAAACTGTTTTTATCCCCAAAAATGAAAGCCACAGTACCGTTGACCTTATCCCAATTGTCGTCTTCCCCATTGTCGGCAGATCCACCGTCAACCCGCCGGCACCGATCATCCAAAACCCATCGTCTCCATCAACTCCCTTTACACTACACTTCCATTTGACCCATTTTCAATAACTTTCACTTCCTTAATTTCATCAATTTTGACCGTCTCCGGCGCCGGCACCGTTGCCGGAGCATCTTTCTTCTTTCTTTCTTCTTCTTCTTCCTCGATCTTCTTCTGTTTTTCTTCCCTTTTAACCTTCTCCAACTCTCCGATCAAACTCCTCAAACAAGCTTCTACATCCGCCGGACTGGTTTTCGGCATCAAATTCTCGGCGACATCCGCCGGCGTCATCTGGGTTTCTTCCAACAACCGACGAATCTCATCGAATAAAACATGGTCTTCAAGATAAAGATAATTTCTTGCCAAAACCCTAAAAGCTTCAAACCCACAATACGATAATTCAATATGTTTATCCATTCGCCCTCTTCGAATCAACGCCGGATCAAGCTTTTCAATATGATTCGTCGTAAAAACAATGATCCGATCGCCGCCGCACGCCGACCATAAACCGTCGACAAAGTTTAACAGACCGGAAAGAGTAACTTTACTCGCTTTCGAATCATTTTCCGGCGACGGCGGTGGTTTCGCCGCTTTCTTCGCTGGATCGGTAGTTTCTTCATCTTCCTCTTTACCCTTTTTCCGTTGGCCGGTGAGGTCCATCGAGCAATCGATATCTTCTATCACGATAATCGATTTACTCGATGTTTCGATCAATAACCTTCTTAATTCAGTGTTATCTTTTACAGCAGTTAATTCAAGATCATAGATGTCATAGCTCAAGAAATTGGCCATGGCGGCGATCATGGTGGATTTTCCGGTGCCCGGCGGTCCGAACAGAAGATACCCTCGTTTCCAAGCACGACCAATTCGATTATAAAACTCTTCGGCGTTGCTAAACGTCGTTAAATCATCGATAATCTCTTGTTTCTTAACAGGATCCATGGCTAGGGTTTGAAATGAAGCAGGATGTTCAAACACAACATGACTCCATTGTGCTCCGTTGTTCGTATAAAGCTTTCGTAATCGATTTTTAACCTTAATCTCTCTTCCTTCTTTAAGAACATGATTCAAGTAATCGCGAACCATGAGTTCTCGATATCGTTTATGAAACGTGAGTTTATAGTATCTCTTTTCATCGGTAGTCGGGTAGAATGAAAACGACTGCGTTTTGAGTATGTTCTTCCCGGAAGACCAGTAAACCTTGACGCCATTAAAGTTGTCTGCAACTTCTTCATGATCATCCATGGAGAGAGAGAGTGGTTGGGTGTTGTTCTTTGTAACGTCAGCTTTCAGTCGTTTGGCTTGCATGGAGGAGGTGGTTCCGAGGTAGGTTTCAATGGCGGAATAAGCTTCGCTGCGTTTGAATCGCTCGCCGGTGAATTCGTTGAAGGTGATTTGGATGTAAGGGTAGAAAAGAGTGAGGAATCGTTGTGAATATTTGTCGATGAAGTTACGGATGTTGTAAGGGAAGTATTGTTGGATGATGGCCCAAACGAACATGATGCTTGCAAGGATTGAACCCAGTTGAGCAAGGAGGTCTCCCATGGCGGATTTGTTCATGGTTTTCTGAAAATGGTGGTTTGGTAGGGATCATGTGAATGGAGGGGGTTATAAAGGATGGGTGGTGGGTTTTGTAATTTGGAGCTGGTTGAAAACGAGGGGGTGAGGTAGGTCATAGGTAGGGGTGGAGAAATCCACAAAAATAGAGAACTGTAATAGGATTATAGAAAGAAAAAATTGTATTTAAATTGATTTTTATTTTGGGTAACATATTTTTAAAAATTTTTATTTTATTATTTAAGATGTAAAGTTTTAAACAATCAAGTATCTGGTTAATATCTTGAAATATTAATCGATTATCATGCTGATGTGGTATCCAACTTAGTAGTATTATTTACTGACATGGTTAGTGATATGAATTTTTTTTAATTTAAAACTAGTGTTCAACCGGTTAACCGTGTACTTAAATGTTTAAAACTTTACATCTTAGGTACCAAAATAAAAGTTTTGAAAGTACGTTACCCAAAATATGAATCAAGTTAAAATACGTTACTTTTTCATGCAATTTACGATTATAGAAAATAAAAAATTGATTTTCTCTGTTATAAAAAAAGTGTCCGAGATACTATTAAAGGTTTGTTTCACTTTTTAGTTATGTCATAAACCAACTTTATATGCATTATGCGTAAGACACATCATTAGAAAACGCAGTTTTTGCTCTTTATATGGCTTAAACAGATTCTCTATTTTGTTCTTTAAAATGGAGAAACATAGATAAAAAAACTTCAAATATAGAGAATTATTTAAAACTTTCAGTAAATGAGAAATGAGTTTTTTTATTCATTCCACCAATAAAATTGAATTAATATTATTTTTTATATATATATATTTTTAGAAAATATATTAAATTTATAAAATTACAGAATATATAAATAATATAATTAATAATTCAATATTTAAAATAGAAAATTTGTTGAAAATAAATATTAATGAATAATATTTCATTTTATTTTTATGTCTCTGTTGATAGAATATAATTTATGTGGTTTTAAGAAAGACAATGTTTTTTACTTTTGAATAAAAATAAATATGAAGATATCATAAAAATTTGAAAAAACTATCGATATAATGTCAAATTAACTATTTAAAACCTTTCTTTTTATACAATTTATTTAATTCAATTTTTTTATTATAATTTAATAGAGATCTAATAGGGAAGTAATTTATTTTTGACTTGACAATATAATTTTTATAAAGATAATAATTTTATTAGAACTCAGTGATTATTCTAATTATATTTTAGATTATTTGTCTTTAAAATGATATATTTATCCTATATTTGATTATGTTTATCTACAGTTAGTTATACGAATTTAAAAATAGAGTTTTAATAAGTTATACTTACGCACAATTTACTTATAATATTAAATTTTAAGTAATATCTATACTATATTATAAAGCATTTGACTAAAACTCTTAAAAACTCTTAAAACTCTTAAACTCTTAAAAACTTTTAAAACTCTT